TTACCTATCGACGTACTGATAGAAAGGATCGTTATACCCTGAGCTGATCGGCTTTGTCGTCGTGGCCGGTGGCGAAGGCGCGGTGCAGGAGATTCCTCCAGCCGCCAACGCGAGCACCTACGCAGCAACTAGAGAGGACCAGATGGTAACAGACGTTACCGAACAGCGCATGCTGCACTGGGCTCCAGGCCCTGCTCCCTCACTATATGGTGCCGGCGCGAGTCGTCGTGTTAGACCGGATGCCAATTAACGCCAACAGTAAGGTCAACTAGTATGCGCTCCTATAGAAGGCATAGGATACGCTGAGAGCTAAGCTATCTACTGCTACTTAAGTAGCGCCTTATAATAAGGTTAAGGTAGCGCTTTATAAAGAGTTTAAAGGCATATTTAGCATTAAGATTAGTATTACTAATATCTTCTTTAACCCAGGTACTGATACATACCAAGGTCCGCCCTGGCGATGGGTCGACCCTCCTTATTGGGTGACTCTCAGAATGATGTCGACAGCTTGATTCTAGCCGACTTTGCTGAAGAGGGAGAAGAGCATTTGATTCCTGGACTTCAGCATTCTGCCAGCTTAGTCATAGCAATGAGTTCCCTAACGCTTATCCTTTCAGATGTACTGCAGACCTTGTATACCGTCGCAGCAAAACGGGAGTGGCTTGTTAAATCTTCAGAACAGCTCATGCAGACTTTTTTCATTCTGAGCATGCTCTTCAATAATGGAAAGCATGTCATTCAGATTTACTTGGTCTGGGATTTCCGTTTCCTGATTCTACAGGTTCAACTTCCTCGTATCAGAGGTGACGTCTCGTTCTAACAACTCTAAGAAATCTTCTACTTGCCTACTACACCTCGAATATCATCCTTTGTAGGGCGGTTCTGTCGAAACTGGAAAGAAAGCGCGCTGATGCTACTCATGTCTGCGAGGTGGCTTCCAAGATGACATCCGGTGCCGTATTGCTTTTAGAGAACCTTACCGTCAGTCAGCAAGCCGCCCTTTGGTGTCCATGTAAGTTAACTCCATCTTCCATTAATAAATAGTAGCATCCCATGATAAGCATGTGTAAATCTAAGCATGTTTCCTACTTTAGTTTCGCATGCGTCCTTTTCCATTGTTGGAAGTTTCATCTTAAGCAGATTCCTTGCCTCAACGGACAACGAGACCTCCCATAGATGGGCAACCAAGTTTTCGGATTACATCGATTGTTGCAGCTTCATTCCGATAGCTTCCCAGTTACTAACTACGCCTTAGCGAGCCTTAAAATTCTAGCAGACCAGCAACCTCCTTCAGAGTCTTCTGAATGACCACTTCACGTGTCGCTCATTACACCTTTTTGATACTAGATCTTTACATGTAGGCTGATAAAAGAGTCACTTGCGCTAATCGTTTCTTCACGCTCATCGACAAGTTTAATATCTTAATATAAGAGCCCGCTAGAGATACGGTGGCGTTGTTGTTTAATTCCGCAATCCCCGACTGCCAAATGTTGGCCTAGAAAGGGGGTTCGTGGTGATCTCATTGGCTCGTTCGGGTATCTTCGAATCTGGTTGGCTGGCTTCCTCTGTCCTGACCCGCGCATGATTCTCCTGAGCTGAGAAACGAGCGCGAAAGAGCCTCTTGATACAGACTCGCTCTTTAGGAAATGCGCATACAGTATTTATTCGGGGAGCACCAACTCCCCGGCACCGAATTCTTCACGTTTAAAATGCCCTTAGAACATCAATCTTAGATGTCGACGACAAGTTTTGGCTCGACAACCTTCTAGCATTTACTTTCGAAATGGTCAACAAAGGTGTTTCATTTGACCCAGCTGATGACATTCCTCCTCTGGAGGGAAAGGTCATCCTCATCACCGGTGCCAATAGCGGATTAGGGAAGCAAGCCTCCCTTGAATTGGCCAAACACAATCCTGGAAAGATCTGGATGGCTGCTCGTAGCTTGGAGAAGGGTAATGAGGCACTTGAAGATATTAAGAAGCAAGTACCAGACGCAGCAGTGCACTTCTTGGAGCTAGACTTGAGCTCTTTTAATTCGATTAAAGCTGCTGCCAGGACAGTTCTCACGTCCTCAGAACGCCTAGACATCCTGATGCTCAACGCCGGACGTAAGACGCCCCCTTCCATAAATCAACTTCGACAAACTCAATATTAAGCCCAATAAGCCTAACTCTCGGAGAACATTCTCTTCAATCATTTGTTGGAAGGAATACTGACGACACAAATAGTCATGGGCTGCCCACCCAAGCTGACGAAGGAGGGTTACGAGATCCAGATGGGTACGAATCATATCGGTCACGCGCTCCTCCTTAAACTCCTCGAGCCTACCCTTCTCAAGACTGCCACTCTCTATCCCGTTCGTGTCGTCAGCATGGCCTCATCTGCCTGGAAATGGGCAGGGCCGGAGAAGATTCAATTTGACACTCTCAAATCTCTGGAGGGTGCTACACCAGTAAATCGCTATATCCAGAGCAAAACAGCGAACATGTTGTACGTGCAGGAGCTTGCCAAACACTATCCACAGTTCACGATTGCCTCTATCGACCCCGGTGAGGTAGCAACCCAACTCTTCTCCCGTGATCCAGGCGATGAGCAAATGATTCACATACAGACCGAAGTGGCGCCAAAGGCCTGGCGACCTGTCGAAGAAGGTGTGAAAAATCAGTTGTGGGCGGCAACGGCTGAAGGTGTCAAGAGTGGCCAACATTATGAGCCTATCGGACATTATGCGCCCTCTGGTCTGATGCTCGATACCGAGCTCGCGAAGAGACTCTGGGAATGGACTCAGAAGGAACTGCAAGGGCAAGAAATTTGAGAACACTGTCCATCTATCGAATCTACAATTCGACTATTTGAGACAGGATTAAAAACGACATCTCGTTCTCGTCAGCGGGTATACCTTGCACTCGATATGAATTATATCAGAGTTTTCATTCAAACCACTCGTTGGTAGTAGGATCATATTTTCTGGTGATCACCTCGCAGATGTTGTTGTCTTTCATTCGTTTGCAAGTCAATGTGCTAACCGCTGACGGGCTATCAGGCAGAGTGATGTGGATATCGCAAACCCTTCGCGATGCTGGCAAAACCAGTGTATCTAAGCTCATGTCTGCCGGTTCGCTACCAGCGTAGCTGTTCTTATTGGTGAAGACGTCTGGATAGCAGTCTCCTTCTTCAATCTGTATGATTTGTTGAGATACAGAAGCTGCAAATGTAGAGTCCCAAATACCCTCTTTACTCGGAAACACACGTAAAAGCTCGATAGCTCGATATCTGATAGAGCGAACCCGACAATGTAAAGCTGTGTAAAAGAGGGGTGGGGTCCAACCAATATCGGCATTGAATAGGAAGAGTTCTGACCCTGAGCGAAACACCGGATTGTCTAGTGAATGAACCGCTTGGACAGCATCTAACACCTTGCTCGAATGATTGATTATGGAAGTGAAAGCATTGGTGTGAGAGTCAAAAGCCACCTCGTCATCCATACGGAAACAAGTATCGGCCATAATGACTGCCATGGCGTAAAACAAGAACAGGAGCTCATAGCCAATCTTCGAAACACGGCCTAATTGATTCTGAAGGTTGACTCGAGATGCCTTGTAAGTAATAAACCATCCGTCGAGGTCAGATTTGATGCGTTCTTGGAGTTTGACAAGGTCCCGTCCCGGGACATACTTCATCGCGTCTTGAGCACTCGCCTCTTGGTGACAGCGTTGCGAGAGATCTATGACTTCGCTATACATCGAATCGAGACTAGATCTTGCTTGAGCAACAGAGCCGAATGTTATCATTTGCGATGCCCGATTATCAGCAAGTCTCATGGTCAAGGGCGCCCGATAGCCATGACCAAATTGCACGGCAAGCAGGTTCATTCGTGTGAAAGCTTCGACGAGCCAATTGTCGATAGTCGTCCCAAACTCGCGTTTTGCCTGAAGTGCAGTTAACAACTTCATCCCATTTTGAAGATGATCGTTGGCCGTAATGTAGCGACCGCGGAGAAACTCGAGGCAGATAAACAACATGCAGCAAATAAGAGCGACACGAGTCGCAGCCTCGCCCTCACACCCAGATCTAGGCTGAAGAAGCGCATTGATCGCTTTGCTGTACTGCCGCAAAGTGAACTGCTCCAGTCTGTCGGGATCTCTCTCCCATTCAGCCTCTCCTACACCAAAGCAGACTCTCTTGTGAACTGAGCTCAAAGCTAGCATGGCATGAAATATCGGTGGTTCTTCTAAGCTTGCTTGCATGACGAGTGTTTCCCAAAATGGTGAACCAAATGCGCCTTGCATCTTGAAGCTCGTTTTGCAACGGAACCATTCGGCAAATCCACGTTCATCTTCATTCTCTAAAGAAATGATACCGAGAAGCTTCTTCTTCGTCAGAGAGGTCTGCAGAACAAGATCGAGAGTGTTCCCTCCTCCCCAGACTTCGTAGCCCTCACAGACCCGGCCAGTCGAAACGCACTTCACACATGCCGGTCGACCTTCATCACACTTGACTTTTCGAATTCTGGAGAAACGTAAGCGACAGGATTTGAAACAGAGAAAGCGTTTGCTTACTTGCAAGTACGACATCCGCTTCTCACTCTTTTCTTCAGCCTACTCGGTCCGGTACTGCCGGGACCCTCAGTCCCGGAATGGGGAGTACATCTAGCGCGACCCATCACGTGCTAATGCTAGATATTTGACACATACAAAGAGCTCATTCAAGTTACCGGCTTTCTACCGGTCATGGAAACCTTGCAACCCTGGTTCTCGTCGTTGATATTTGCATTAGCTTTCTGCCACGTGACGCGGAGTTAAGACCCCGGATGTAAGCATACCTAAGTATCTATGTTCACCTATAACTCTTCTCCAAAGCATCTAAATTTTAATGTCTTCTCTATAAATTGATTTTATATATATCTTTTATGTAGGAATTAGGTATTGAGTTAACTTTTGCCAATGTTAAAAATAAAGTGTGATCTTTTTTATGTTAAGCTCTTACGTCTTTTCTCGCCTTTCATAGCTATAAACTAGCAGGTCCATCATGAGGAACAGGAATTATACTAGATCCCCAGCACCTTCTTCTCGTTGCCTTCTTTGATTTCTAAAGACATTGTGCCTAGATCTCTCGCCTCCACGCAATCTTGTATTTGACATTGGCTGCATCTCAATCGCATCTTGAACTGTTCGTCGCTGAGAAGAAACCCTATTAGTGCCAGATGCCATCAGCACTGGCGTCTGCTCCGCAGTTAGTGGATTTGCAGTGTTTCTACTGGCTTCCGTGCCATGAGCGGTCGTTGATGATGTCTGGGCTAACGGACTGCCATTGAGCCTTGGTTCGCTGTTGAGTTCGTCTTGGCTTTTCTTCTTCTTTCTTCCCCTCTTCCACGGCTTTGGTCTATCTGGCCTCCCCTCATCATGCTCCTCCTGCGCCTCAGCTGCACGTCTCTTGGCTGCACGCTGTCGTTTTTGCTTTCGAACTTCTTCCTTCATTCTTCTGACCTTTTCCTCCGTTTTGCGCATTAATGATTGGCTATTCCACTCGTCGCGACCAGTAAGCCAGACACGATACAATCCGGTGTGAACAATGAACACGGTAGACAAGTACATGTAAGCAGACCAAATCAATGCACGAAGGAAATTGCTGAAAGCAAGGACGACTGCAGCAATGATTATTCCTGCAGATATCGGGACTTCGGAGTCGATTAGCTCGTATTAAGTCTCTTCAACAGGCATAACGTCTTACACATGAGTTTGAATTGATCATATAGTGTCCAGTTGCTTCCTTGAAAGTCGGCATTGTTCATGCCGAACACACTCGACATGAACGATAGAGGCAGCTTTCGAGCGTTAGCTAGAACGGTTGTGGTGTCTTCGCAGCGTCACTTACGAAGACGATAGTTACGATTGTAAACATCATAATTGCCCGGCCTTGTCTGACTGTCTCCTTAGCCTGCTTCACAGATTGCCATGCCTGAACGACGCTGGCTTGTTGTTGTTTTAATGCCAGCAAGTCATTTACCTAGAACCTTCGGTGAGAACACTCTTGAATTTCTCAGTCTCTGCGACCACTCACACTTTGTGCTGTGCTCTCCGCACTCTTCTTCAATCCCTCAAGCTCATCTATCCGATCGGTAACTTCAGAGAGAAGGTCAAAAGCTTCTATCCGGAACCAGTCAAACTGCTCTCGTTTCTCGTGTTCGTTAGTATGATCATCCATTTTCTTCGATACCGTAGGCATCGGCGGGCGCAGGCCATCATCCCAGTCATGGTTGGATGATTGTTCCCTCCAGTGACCTTCAGGGTCCAGTATGTGCTCGACGTGCTTAGAAAATCGTTTCAAAACCTCTTTCTGCTTCCTATTGATATGTATCATGATGTCCAGCTCGTCAATAATGTCTTTGATCTCCCTTTGTAGCCTACCTTCCGGATTGATATCAAGCAAGGGAACGTGTAGATCATTAGACTCGACATGCTCAGTCTTAGCCCGATAGATCTTGCAAGCTTTTTCTGTCCAATGCCAGAGATGTTGAAACAAGATAGTCTGACGATTTGTCTATTGATAGATCTCAGTTCAAATTCTATTGTTGCCTTATAAGAATAAATGATTACTTACTACATTACCAATGGCTTCGGCGAAGAGATCCATGACTTGGGGATGGCGATCCTTGTTCTGGTCAGCTCATGTCCACGGTAATTCTGCTATACTAACCTGAGTCTTAGTCCTATCAAAGAAGGTATTCGAGCACTCGTCTAAAATTATGAGGGCCAGGTCAAACACTGATCGAATTTGGTTCTTCCGAGCGGCTCTGAGTCGGTTTCGAATCGACTTGTGAACGCCTGATGGGTCCTGCTTATTGGTCCCGTATCTCCTGGGAAAGCATGTTATGATAGTCCTTTCATCAAGAATCCACATCCATAACTGGTCAACCATAACTAAACGAGACACTTTCCGAATGTCACTCTTACATTGGTCACATCCGTGAATATCATCGCATGTATGATCAGGCCAGTGCAACACTTTTGGCAGGTTTGGTCCGGACTCTGACTTGATCCACCATGGGCCCGCAAATTTCGATTGAATCTTGTCGAGTAATGATACACTATTTTTTGGGTTGAGTTCTTCCAATCGATGTGCGAGTTCTGTGTTAAGCGTTGTGCTTCGATATACCACCTGATCTCGGTCTCGGGCCTTTGTAGTCTTCAAAGTCCAGTAGTATGACTGATCTAACGTTCGGCGGGGATGATATGGAGGGTCTTTGTGAAGGAAGTTCTCGAGGAGTTTCTTGTCACGAAAAGTCGCAATGGCTTCATAAAGACGGGCTGCGTCGATAAGAAATTGACCGAGAGGTTTATGCGGCACCAACATTCGCCCATTCGCGTCAAATTCAAGTCCTTGGGCGCCTTTCGCATGATGCCTTTTGCGCGTGGCGTTGATCACCTCAGTCATCGTCCTAAGTGGGCCATGGTGTTTCTTTTTATTGTCTTGCTCTTTCTCATTGACCGGCATCTCAGCGACAGGCTCATTGCTGGCTTTCGGGGCGGCTCTGCTATTTATTCTTTCCTGCGTTTCAGTGGAATTCTTTTTGCGAATTTCTATTCGATGTTTTTCGGTCTCCGCATCGATCACTTGTGCCATCTTCTCCCGGTTACGATCAGTTTCCCAATGGAGATAGGGCATCTGAGACAATGAGTAATGCGCTGTAAGCAAATACGGAATGTTGTATAAAACTCACAAAGAGTACAAGGTTTTTGGGATTTTGCTCGACCTCCAGTATGTCTTGATGAATTAGAGCCAAGATCATTTTGACTGAGGTATCACTCACCAGAA